TCGGACACAGGGACATCAAGCCGCACAATTTGCTGCTGGATCTTCAGACGTGCGTGCTCAAGGTCTGCGATTTCGGATGCGCCAAGCACTTGAACGAAAGCGAAACCTCCATCTCCTACATCTGCTCCAGATACTACCGCCCTCCAGAACTCTGCATGGGCGCCACTCAATACGGCGTCTCCATCGGTAAACCACTTCATAATTCACAGGAAGCTTGAAAAAGGGAATTCAAATTTTGCAAAAATTAAAAATCGCGCGAAAGTCGTAGCATACATTTTTAATCCAATAATCTATTCATCATCCGCAAGAACCTTAAAAAATGGAATTCAATCTTTGAAAAATTTAAAATCGTTAAAAAAAATGGTCGCATAATTTTTAATAACTCAATAATAAAAATTCTTTCAATACTAGCTGAGGGTGCCCAGCCACACCTGGGCAGTGGAAAAATTTAAGATTTGAAATTTTCTTTGAGATCACACATGGAAGAGAGCCTGTACACAAAAATCTTAAAGAAAGCACAATTGAAAAACTAATCAATCCATTCAAAATCAATAGGTAACGTGGAAAAAAGTCTCAAAATGTAATTCAATGATGACGTAATCGTTTTTAAATTATTTGAATAATTCAATCTATCCTTTATGTCAAGTTTTTGAATCTCATAATCGACATTTTTGTGATCAGAATTCAAAAGGTCGCAATATTCAAGCCAAAAACATGGCATAGGCACAATTGTATAAACCCTCCAACCTAATCCAAGTCCACAAGAATGTTGAAAACGGGATTAATTCTACAAAATTAGAAAGCAAGCAGTAGTAAAATTCCAGTAAATGCACCCTTTTGAAAGCGTGACAATCCAAGCAATATTCGCAGAAACCTTCAAAAATTAGAATTGAATTTTTGCAAAAATCAAAACGATCGACATTTTCCAGATGGTGTCATAATAAATGCATTATTAGAAGTATAACATTCACCATTTTAGAAGTATTTCTATTCAATATCCCCACGCGCCATGAAAATTAAATCCAGGTTTGCAAAAATTGAAATCGAATCATTTTCGGAATTCNAATCCCGCCCAATTATTTTATTTTCTGCAACAAGATCAGCTTTTTTGCTTGAAGATTTGGTGAAAAATGCTTTTCAAAGTACAGTAATTTTTCTCCCTACTTAAGCGAGGAGTGTCAAGTGCAAGCTTTTTTGCCCCATATCCAAAGCAGCATTAATTGAACGAAGAAAAGATATGGAACAGGATTCAAAAGAAATTTGGACTTCCACGCGGGCCAAAGAAATTTCGACACTTTCGTCAAATAGAAAATAAAATCTTCGGAATTTTCAACAATCTTTTCTGCATTCAAGAAAATCCTCACCTTGGGGGGTTTTTTTGTTTTTGTTCTTCATGGGCAGATATGTGGAGCGCAGGATGCGTGGTGGCGGAGATGTTCCTTGGCGAGCCAATCTTCCGGGGTTCTTCCCGCGAGGACCAGATGGTGGAGATCATCAAGGTTCTTGGCACGCCAAACAAGGAACAAATGCGAGAGATGAAGGTTTACGAGCCGCCTTTCCGGCTTCCCAAAATGGAACGCGTTTCATGGACAAAGGTGAGTCCTGAAGAAAATAATTTATTCATAAAGCTAAGGCGGCTTGATAGAAATAATGGTCCATCATAGTGAAGCAGAGGGATGGTACAAACCATGGCTTATTTCAACTGGTGTGGTTCAAGTGTACCAATAATGGTGCAAATATATAGTTGCACAAGGAAATTACCCGTTTTTAACAGGACTTATTTATAAGAGTGCTGAAAGTATGATTGATCACAAATACTAAACCTTGAAGTGAAGATCTTCAAATATACAGGGAGACCCCTACATGCAGACACCTTGACCTGCAGACAATTCAACATAGGGACACTTATTTTCTCATAAAAAATTAATAAAAAAGGCCCAAAATAAGGACACCTACTCAACACATGGACACTTCATGATGAAATTGCAAATAAATTTCAGGCCAAATTACAAGACTCAGATATTTCCAACCCTTTAATTGATGTAAGAAAATTTTTTGGCATTTCCCTCACTAATTTACCATCCATTTAGCAAATCTAAAAAAATTCTCTCCAGCATAGAGAGACTTTCTTCTCTCTTTTTCACTTTGAATGTTTTTTTTTACAGAGAATGCCATCATTTCTATGTGCTGTACAGAGGTATCAGTATTCCATTCCCCCAATGTACATATTGTGTTGAAATATAATGATTGAATCAGTTTAAATTGGGAGACAATTTTTATTTTCATGGAATTATGGTGAGTATTTTGTACATAAAACACAAATTAAAATTACATAATGTAAGTCTAAGGGAAAATGAGACTTTACTTAAATTACTCTTGATGCACCAATTACGTCTGCATCTTGGGGTCTCACCGTAGTTTTAACCTCCAGAAAACTCAAACATAGCTTTTTCAATTACTTTTTTTAGTCCCTGTCTGAATTACTTAAAAAACAATGCAAGGAAAACCACCTTAGCTCAAAGGGTTTCCCCCTCTAACCTGCAAAACTAAAATTTTCTGCTGTCCTCCTGGCTATTTTATTGACACAGGAAAAATAAAAGCAAAATAAATGTGAATTGGTGTGTTTTGAATGGAAACAAAAGACTAATTTGTCAAATTAACACCTCCAAGTTCAACATTGTGTCCACTCATTTTAGAAGCACAAATACAAGTTGGTGCAATTTTTCTTCATTTTCCTGTGATTTACATTTATGCCAGGTGAAGTGTAATCAATTTGGAATACTGTTCAGTAGAATCTCGTTACAACAAGCGTCAATACAATGAATATTTGATGATAATTTCCAGGTCCCTGTCCGATAGCTGCCATCTTATAACGAAATTTTCATTATAAATAAGCTCTTCTGCTGGTCCCCATGGACCAACAATGTGGACTAAATCCACATTGTTGTTGTAACGAGATTTTACTGTACCGTATTTACTCCACGCATCCTCGAGGAAGACGCGCACCTTAGATTTTTAGATAAAATGTCGTAAAAAATTATAATACCGAATAAAACGCGCAACTTCATTTTCGGTTACTGAAATTTCCGCTTGAGAAACTATGTGGCAAAAATCCAAATTCACTTGAAAATCGAATTCAATATTCATATTTTTGTTTTTGTATCAGGATTGTGCGCAGAAATCAGAGACATCCTGTAAAAACAACGTGAATTAAACGTAGTTGAATCCTTCACGTCCAATTAACACATCGTCCACGTTCAAACTCATAAAAAAGAATAGAAAAGGAGATAATGAAACGGCATCTCTACTAAGTACGCCCTTTCTTTTCCCTCAGGTGTTCCGCCACGCACGAACACCGCCGCCGCGGGAAGGCTTGGAGGTGGTCAACCAGATCTTGCGCTACACTCCGCCGCATCGTCTGACTGCTTCGGCGACCCTGGGTCAGACCCTGGGTCACTCCTTCTTCGCTGAACTTCGTCTGCCCGAAACAAGGTTGCCCAGTGGAATGACTCTTCCGAAGTTATTCAACTTCACAGAAGACGGTGAGTCCCGTTTTTTCTCAACGGATAATATTCAGTTGATTCGCACCTAGACTCGAGAAGAATTTATCGTCATAGGAGTTAGGACAAATGTTTCCAACAACCCGTTCGAAACGAAATTCGGAGCAAATAGTTGATCCTAAAAAAGATTCAGAGCTACCAACAAATAAATTACGCTCTCACTTCCGAAAAACCTGAAACTTCTCGCATTGGATCCATGAAAGGTCGAGAAGTTTAGTGGCCATCACGAAATGGAGGATCGGATGCCTCACGAAAAAATGATCATCTTCATTGGCCTATTTCTGTGTTTCAATACTGTATCTATACGCAGTTTCCCACGGGAAAATGCGAAGTGTGGCTTGTGATACTGAATAAATAATATACTGTACTTGCTGATACCTCAACGAAATTTCAAGGGATCCGGGAAAAATTCAAGGTTTCTCTGGGGATTCAGACAGTGACTTGAGAAAAATTCGACTTCAAGGAGGTTCAACTGTCCCATGAAATATGTCATTAAAAATGACGGCACTAAACTAGGGCTCGACTGTCTCTTAACACAACT